TAAAAACAATATTATATAATAATAAAGGAAATTAGGAAAACTATGAAGAAGAAAACAGAAACTCATTGAAAAGCCCATTGCAGCAAATATTTTGGCGTTATTTCTTCCAGTCTTTTTAGCTAACATACATGAATTTTGTTGAGAAAAATAAAACACACATGATTAGGATCGTTGTCATGCGGTTTTTTCAATGTTACTTTTCCACTCCATAACATTTTTCTACTGTCAAATAGTCTTGAAATGTGTCATTTTTGAGGATTATGTAATAGTCATTGTAAGTATTTATTATGGTTTTACCTAATACAGATTAATAACATCCTTATTCCTGGATAGCTTGGTTATTTCTAATTGTTGCTATTATAAATAGCCTTGCATATATATTTTGGCTGCCTTTATGATTTTCCTCCCTTCAGATGGATTCCTTCAAGTGGAATTATTGGATCAAAAAAATTTCATTTTTGCTGTTTCATCAGAAATATGAACATGCATAACATAAGTGAATTTGGAGGGTCTAGAATAAGAAAGGAAAGTGGAAGTGGAATAGAAAAGAACAAATCTGACTTCATATTAAATCTGTTGCTTTGGCTCGAACCCTGTGCTCTGCTTCCTGAGCTTAGACTTGCTGGTTCTGCACCTTCACCTTTTGTTAAAAAAAATGTTGCCTAGAGCCGGAAATATACAGGATAGCCCATTCGCAAGGTTCTGAGAGGATATGAACATTTTCCCATTCATATAAAGATAACAAGCTGCAGAGTAGAAAATAACGTTTGTTTTGTTGGAGGTTTACAGAGACACCATGATCAGACACCACATGGACAGCTGCAAGAACAAAGGGTTCCATGAACAAAGAATTCCTACACCAAGAAGTTTGCAAGAACCAAGCGTCTCCCCTGTCCTTTTTAGTATAAAAAGAGCCTGAATTCTGACTTGGGGAAGATGGTTCTCTGGGACACTAGTCTGCTATCTTCTCAGCCTGCTGCCTTTCTGAATAAAGTTGTTATTCCTTGCCTCAATACCATGTCCCCCGATTTACTGGTCTGTGGCGTGGTGAGCAGAATGAGTTTGGACTCAGTTACAGAAGTGTTTGCAAATTTTGTTGCTATGCTTGTTAACGTCTATAAAAATTATATAAAATTATAAAAAAAAATACCCCTTTTTATCAAACAAGGAAAAGCAGGCTGAATTATCTTCTGTATTTCACCCTGAGACTTCCATCGTATCATATGTTGTCATCTTTGGGG